CTTTGACTCTTTATTTTATCTTTCTATTTTTTCCATTTCAAAAATGGAAAAATTATTTTAAAAATGCCATGTTTTTCAATATGTTTCGCAAATATTGCCATTTTACATTTATGAAGTGTTTTTCAATATGTTTGGCAAATAATGTCATTTTACATTTATGAAGTCGACATTAATTTCGTAAAGATGGCAATTACACAGATATGTTAAGCAAATAATGCCATGTTTTACAAATATTAATTTCATGTATTTTTTTACAAAATGACATTATGATTTTAAAATTTCAGATCCAAATTCATTAAATTTAAAATTTTAGAGTAAAAAAATTAAAAATAAATATCAGATTGTCATTCTACAACATTCTTAATTTTCTGATCTGAGGCTAGAGGATGGAGATGGCGGCGTCGGAATTGTAGATGGTCGGTGGTGACCCTGGAACAAGGTAGCGGCAAAGATGGTGGTGGCGGCGGCGTCAAGCGACAGCGGAGACCGGCAGCGTCTGACGATGGTGAAGACTGGCGGTGTCCAGCGACGGCAGAGATTGGCGGCGTCCGGCGGCAGCAACGTTCGTCATCTGGCAGCAGCATCAAGTGGCGGCGTAGGGCGGTGGTTAGGGGCAGCGGTTACTGGTGCAGGTACTGCCCCTAGATGGTGCCAGCGACAACTTGTGGTTGGGGAAGGAAAAATACGTTGTTGATTTGTTGTCTAATGCATTAATTAGTTTATTATTCTATTTTGTATTTTTACTAAATAAGTTTGACTATTCATTAAGGACATTTCTGTCTCTTACTTATAATTTCCGTATGACAAACTACATTGTTAGATAGGAGTCCTACTTTTGCTTATTTGATAAGTTTTACTCCTAAACTGGAAATTTTCTCTATAAAGAAACTAGGATTGGAGCATGAGAGCCAGGATGTGCTTTCACAACAACTTCCTGACCAAGCCCTTTCAACAAAATCAGCTCATATGATCAATTACCTTAACAAAATACTACTGGAGGAGGACGATGACGAGAATAGTGATGACTTCTTGCTCGGTGATCCTACTGCGTTGAGAGCTGCTGAGGATTACTTCTATGAAGCCTTGCGTGAGAACCTCTCATTTGACAGCAGTGTTGGAAGCCCACAAGGTATCTCAGTTGGGACCTCAAGTTCTGATATTGATGTCTATAATTGTCTCTCCGTCCAGTCTTCTTCATCAAGTCACACTAACTTGGATGGGATAAACGATTCTTTATATAGCTTTGATAGGGATAATTTGCTTCCAAACATACATTTTGATGATGAAGCTACCTCCATATTCCCATTCCATAGTGGTGTGGGGGAAGCTAAAAGATTCTTTCCTTCCATTAATCCGATGGTCATCCATTTCAGCGATAAATATCCATTATTGGAACTGGAGACCGAGGAGTTGGACAGTGGGAGTGCTGTGAGGGTAGAGAAGGATCATTCTGTTGATTCGTGTAGAGGAAGAAAGCACTATCGTGCATGTGAAAGTGGGCTAGAAGAAGAAGAAAAAGAAGAGGGAAGGAGCAGGAGGCAGAGTGCAGTTTATGAGGAGGTGGACTTATCGGAGGCGTTTGATAAGGTTTTTCTGTGTGCTGATGATGATGGTGTTGAGTTTCTGTCTGCAGCCGGAAAGCAACAGCAGAAAGGTCGAAATGGGCGCAAGAGCCGTTCAAATAAACAACGAGCAGATGGTCGAGAAATTGTTGATCTCCAGCCCAAGTTGATCAGCTGCGCAAAATTTGTTGCTGATGCAGATTAGAGGGCTGCTGTAGAACAACTAGAGAAGATTAGGCATTACTCTTCGCCTACCGGGGATGCAAATCAAAGGTTGGCACATGCATTTGCTGATGGTCTTGAGGCTCGGCTAGCTAGAACTGGGCTGCAACTTAATGCTTCATCATCACTTTGCAAGAGGAATAACTATCGAGGTTATGCTTCTGAATTGCAAAAATCCGGCCTGTCATCTTCTATGCCATTTATGAGGATATTCATCTTCTTTGCGAATAAGATGATTTACGATGTAGCATCAAGAGCCACATCACTCCACATTATAGATTTCGGCATTCTTTATGGTATTCAATGGCCCACTCTGATTCAGGATCTTTCACAAAGACACGGTGGCCCTCCAAAACTTTGAATAACTGGGATCGAGCTTCCCAAACCTGGCTTTCGTCCATCACAGACACTAGTAGAGACTGGTTGTCGCCTGGCAAGATATTGCAAGCGTTTTGGTGTACCATTCGAATACAATGCCATAACAGCAAAGCATTGAGAGGCACTTAAGATTGCTGATTTAAAGCTCACGCGGGGTGAGGTGGTTGCTGTTAATTGTAATGGTCGATTGACAAACCTACCAGACGAAGCATCATCTGGTGATGACATCCCCAGGGATAGTGTTCTAAACTTAATCCGGGAAGTAAACCCTCATATTTTCGTTTATATTTCGCTTAGTGCATCTCACAACTCTGCTTTCTTTGTCAATCGGTTCAAGTCGGCTCTATTCTTCTACTCTAGTGTCTTTGATATGTTTGAAGCTAATTTCCCACCCCATGACAGTCAAAGGATCCACTTTGAACAAGGGCTTATGCGGCCCGTCATAGCAAATATCGTAGCATTCGAGGGCAAGGAAAGGTTTGAGAGGCCTGAAACATATAAGCAATGGCAATGTCGCACTATGAGGGCTGGGTTCAAGCCTCTTCCTCCGAACCCTGATATTGTGGAGAAGTTGAGAACTAAAGCGAGGGAAGCAGGTCACAAAGACTTTCTGTTTGCTCAAGACGGCCATTGGGTGCTACAGGGGTGGAATGGTCGGGTTATGGCCTGCAGCTCTGCCTGGGTAACTCACAACCACTGATGGTACATTTGTAGCAACCTATTAATCAGGGCGGATCCAGGAATTTGAGATGCCCTGGGCTGAGTATGAATTATACTAGGCTTAAATATTAACGGGGTGAGCTAAATGTGAAAAATGAAAAAACATTACACTAAAGAAAATGAAAATTTTCTAAGGTGCCCTGGACTTCAGCCCACCATAGCTCGTACATAGATCCTCCCCTGCCGTTAATGTAATTTTTCATAGCTACATGGTCATTGTGATCTTTGTTAATGTACGGTTGGAATGTATTGCATTTTAAATTATCTACTATTATACCTGTGTGATGCACGAGACAACATATCCTTTTATTTTTCCTATGTTGTTTTACAAATTAAAATGCCACGGGAAGATACATTTACTTCAAGCTTCAAAGACAATTGACATGAATATATCATATAATAAAAAATGAGCATTTACTTCCTCCGTCCCGCTAAGATTGTCCCATTTTACCTTTTTGGGAAGTCCCACTAAGATTGTCTCATACCAAATTTGGTAAAGATTGTGTGACTCTGAATCATTCTTACTGTATTCTTACTTTATCAATTTAATATCAACCACACAAACCTACTTTTCTAAAAAATCGTGTCACCTTCTCTCGTCTCAATCTTAGTGGGACGGAGGTAGTATAAGTTATAATGTTATACAAAATGAATATATAAAACTAAAACATTGCGAAAAAACTACATATTTTGAACACATATGGATGTAAAACTTTTAGAGGGTTTTTCTTAAATATTAGTTAATACATAAAATTACCAAGGTCTGACCGACTACTTCCCAAGCTTCAGGCATCATAGGCGACCAGCCGAGCTCATTTCTCGGCTCGATACCTCAAAGAAGACTGAACTCAATGTTCGGTCGGATAGCTTCAATGGTCACCAAGAAGGAGTCATTAATATGCAACAGCTAATACCTATAATCGTATTTAATTCATAATATTTCGGAATAATTAGTCTATTAAATTGTACTACCTCCGTCCCACTAACATTGGAACGGAAAAAGGTGGCACAATTATTAAGAAAAGTGAGTTTATGTGGTTGATATTGAATTGATAAAGTAAGAATAAAGTAAGAATGATTAAGAGCCATACAAACTTTACCAAATATGGTATAGGACAATCTTAGTAAGATTTCCCGAAAAAGTAAAATGGGACAATCTTAGCAGGACGGAGGGAATAATAAGTAGTGTATTTATGCGTGAATATTCCATGTATTTATGGGCAGACACCCCTCACCTATAAGGGGGCTTCTCCACGAGGAAACTCTTCAATTACTCTCTTTTACAACAAACTATATTAATAAAAAAAACTTTCAATATCTTATTATTTCCAACTTTTCATATACTTCTACGTTCTAGTTAACTAAAAAGGTTTTATGTTGGGTCAAACCTATCATTAAATTTATGAACGAAGTGACTAAAGTAACTATAAATATATTCTCACGATAACTAAAGTGTAAAGTTGAATAGTCATAGCCGCTAAAGTTATTACTCCGTATTATAGTTACTCAAGTAAAAAATGGCCACATTTTTTATTTTAATTATATATTCATCGTTATTTCAAACATCTATTGTGAAACTACTTGATGTGATAACACTTTTGCTTATCAATATTTTAAATCATTTGCACATAGTTATTCGTGATATGACAACATACAATTGACTATTCAAAATGAGAAAGTAATTGACTCTGTTTTATTAATCCCATTGCATACTAAGCACTATACAAAAATTATCTTCATTTAACTATTTGAATGATATTGGGTATTTCAGAAAATCATTTGACTTCCTTCTCGATTGAATTTTTAGCTGAAATTTGATATGGATAAACTACACTTAATGAAGAAGATGTTCAAAAAATTTCATCAAAAAATCCCACCGAAAACCGCCCCAAATGGCAACAATCGGACAAAAACTCCTACAAAAGAGCTTATTTACACTTTTTATATAAGTATTTCAAGGGAAAATGTTACATACAACTTAATCGTCTTATAGCCAATTATTTTTGTTTCTAATTGAAACGTTGTTATGACATTTTCCCTCTTTTTTCTTTGGTTAACGACACTTTTGATGGAAAAGGATCGAGATTAGATACTCGGACAATCGGACCCCATCATCATGAATTAAAAGGCGACACGTCCCACTAATAAATTGGCTCCTGTCATCTTCCTCACTCCCCCATTATCGCCCTTCTCTTGTTTTCCATTCATTCTGAGTTCTTCAGTTAGGGCGATTTTGAATTTAGATTCAGGTGAAAGGAAGCACAATGAGGGAGGCTGCGGCGGCGGCTCCGTCAAGCAGCAGCAGGTTTCTAACACAGTGGTGTCGGAGCCAGGATCGGAGAAGTCCGAAGTGGAGCAAACAGAAACCAAAATGGGATAAGATTAAGGCGCAGATAGGGACTGCTTCCACTTACTATTCCAGAATCAGTACTAATATTCCTCTCTATGAACTCCCCCAGGTAATCAGAATAAGTTTCGTTTTTCCTTTTAAGTTTTTGCCGTGTTATGTGTTTTCTGAACTTGGAAGTACTGAATTATAGTAGACATGTTTTGAACTGCAGGCTTCGTTCGATCGATATCTAGAGGATAAGCCTAGAGTTTTCAAGGCTATATTTCCAGACAAAAGGAGGAGCCAGCAACTCAACGAGGTACCGACTCAAAAATTCAGTGCCCCCACTTTATCTGCGTAATGCGTATTAAATTGTCATGATTATGCTGCTTTTTTAAAAATATGGAGACTCCTTAAGTCCCACTCGATGTTCAATACTTCATCAATAGATACTGCAATGTAATTGTATAAAAATAAACTACAAATACGACTACAATTGCCCACAATTCACAAATTAATTTCTGCTCTACTTCTTTTTTCTACTCTTCACTGTGAATTATTGGCCGTTAAACATGACAATAGTTATTTTGGAGCATTAAACTTAATGTGCGTACTACAGATAGCCAGGATAAGAGAGACCAGCGTTATCTTAAATTAGGAACTTAGTTCTATGAATATATGATATGCAAAAAATGGTGAATAAGAAATGGAATGTGAAAGTAGTGATTAGTACTTTCGTAAGTGATGCCTCCTTTGGATGTTATAATAAATCCAATTGCTACAGAGTTATTTGTATCATCATTCTTGGACGGGTATAGCTTTTTGGCAGACTATTTAATCAAGATTAAACACGTTATTGGAAGATTTAGCACGCTATTGGAAGCCAATGAGAATAATCCCAACACGTTATTGGAAGATTTAGCACGCTATTGGAAGTCAATGAGAATAATCCCTTCTAACTGTTGTAGCCATAATAAGGTCAGCACTGATAAATGTGCGATGATTATGGAGTTGTGGCATTTTCTTTTAATTCCTTTGTTCTTTGGAAAGGAATGATAGCATCTACCAGTTTGAGAGGGAAGTAGGTTCGGTGTGAATTAGGATTTTTTTTGTTGGCTGAAATTTCTATTCTGATATGTTCTGGGACTGATAGCACTCCAAGTAAAAACATCCTACATGTGTTGGAAGTTGAACTTATGTTCAGCCTCTTTTCTCCTTTCTTAGAAGTCCCTCCACACCCTTGGTGCATGGGTTTGTTATTTATCAAAATAGAAAATAATCTTTCCTCACATACAAGCTAGCCTCCAGGTTGTGATCCAATAGCCATGCTCAAAGGATATTGGCCCTACTGTTGTATCACATTGTTTGAAACTTCATCTGCTCTAGTGTTGTTTTATGTTCTCTTCCACTGCACTGTGTTTCTTTTGTGCTTAGTAATTATTATTATCGATGTCACCTTTGTATCTGAGGAGACGTCTTGGTTCATGTAAAACACAGTTTCCTTCAAATAGCTTCAATCTTCTCCCAGGTGTGTTAGAGTTGTCAATACATCTTTTTTTTATGATACAACTAAAATAAATTCCCTAAAATATGAATCAAGCACAAGGAAAGTGCAAAAATAGGAGTTCATGTTTTAGTTTCTTTAAATAGGAGTCAAATATTGGGTGTAGACAAAAGTATCCTTTAGTGTTTAGGGTTAGATTATAGGGTTTAGTAGGGTGTAGTGGTGGCTGTTAGTGGCGGCGGCAGCAGTCCGGCAGGAGTGGACCGAGTGGTTAGTAGCTTCAAACCCTACAAGCAGTGACAGATCTACTATCGGGGCAGTGGGGGCAGCTGCCCCCACTGAAACCCTATATATATATATATATATATATATATATATATATATATATATATATATATATATATATATATATATATACTCCCTCCGGTACGTATTAAAGTTCTCACTTTCCTTTTTGGGATGTCCCTTATTTAAGTTCACACTTCCATTGTAGGAAACAAAACAGTGCAAAACAGTGTCAAACAGTGCCAAACTGTGCCAAACAGTGCACTACACAGTAAAGTCAACTTTATTTTCTTAATCTGTGTGAAGTCAAACTGGGGACTTTAATAGGGACCGGAGGGAGTATATAATTAAATTATATTTATATTTATATGGTAAATATAGTATTATATACTTTAATTACGCTAAGAATACCAAATATTTCTTTGGCCCAGTGGAAGTCATCTTTCGTGTGTGATTAATGTCCTTGAGGTCGGGGGTTCGACTCCCATTTACCATTTTATCATTCTTTTTCTTTTTATCCTCTTTCTTTCATTTTCTTCTTTTAAGTGACTTTACATAATTTTATCAATTTTTCTTTAATTTCAAAGATCAAACTACTTCAATACAATTTTTGTTTCTCATACTACATCCGTTCCTTTTTAATTTCAATCCACTTTTCATGTTTGACAACGTATAAATTTGACCATTAATATATTTCATTCTTTACTTGTAAAAAATTAAAAAAATCAGCTCTTGATAATTTAAAGGGAGTGAAATTAACAAAAAATTCAAAATTTTAATTTGTAATACATTAATAAATAAAACATAGTCAAAGTAGAATATGTGAATAGGGCAAAATCACCAACGTTGCAACTAAAAGAGAACGGAGGTAGTATAATTTATAAACTTTTGCAATTACATATTTGCACTAAATATAAACGGATTTTTAGATATAATTGTGCATTCACAATTTACATTAATACTAAATACATACAATATCCGACCCTTATTCAACTCATCTAATTTATTTCTGAAATTGGTTAGGTATGTTTTCATGTTTTTTGTTGAACAAATATTGTAGTATTTATATATAACTAACTTCACAAAAAAATCTTATTATATTCAATTGTTTGTGGCATGATTGAGAGAATATGTAATGTAAATCCGCCCCCACTCATATCATTTCCTGGATACGCCACTGCCTACAAGGGTGTTTTTGTCCTATCACAATTTCGCACTCCTATTTAGGGAATTTTAAACATTAGCTCCAATTTTTGCATTTCAGCTGTGTTTTGCTCCTATTATGAGAATTTTCTCTACAACCAGCCAAACACGATATGGGAAGAACACAAACAGTGTGTTACATAATTACATTATTATGCTCAACTGATTTAGTAAAAAGCCAAACCAAACAAATTCAATATATTCCACTTGGAATTAAGCTCTGAGGAGGGGAACATGTTCCAATTGGCTAACACAATCTTTTTATTGCACTCTCATTACATATGTTCTAAAGCACTACAAAATGTTAGAATTGGCCGGTGTCATTGGCTTCCAAAAGCTATTACAAATTTACAGTAGCTAGTGAAATATGATCAAGTAGCCAGTTAGATGATTAAAACTATCCGAAATTTGTGCTACAAATTAATTCATGATTACATGTTTGAGTATAAGTGTATAACATATCTGTACCGTTCAAACATTCAAGCCCTATTTGAGAAACTCTTACTCTGTAGCTTTAGTTCCCCACATCATGAGTATACTTTGAGACTCGAATTGTAACGAACCATGTTGTGCATGTAGATGCATTAAGTTTATCTCCTAATGTAGGAGAATATTAATTATTGGGTATTAAAGGGGGAAAGAGAAGCTGTCCAAAGTATGCTATAACTCCTTTTCAAAAAAGAAAAAGAAAAATCATTGACCTGAGAAGTCCAAACTTGCGTTTATCAAGTAAATACTTGTGATTTGATGATTTCTGATGGGTGGGTATTAGCTGCATTCAGGAAGAGTGGAGAATCCACATGCTACCCATACAGTTCCTTTTCATATCTGCTCTTCCAGTAGTTGACATGAGATTGCGTTGCAAGTCCAAAGGGATCGCATACCCGCCCGAGGTTCCCACTGATGTTTCAAAGGTTCTTGAGCTTGACATTGTAAGTATATATTTATGTAAAGACCCATGTAATTTAGGTCATTGGGTTTCTTATTTCACCCCATCTCAGATACAGAACTCAAACCTCTGTTCTGCAGATCAGATGGGAGCTTCAGGGTCTGGATGATGTGGTGAAACCATCTCAGTTCTCACTTAGTGTCAAAGGGGCTCTCTACCCTGAGAGGCGTGGACTAAGAAGCAGGATCAAGGGCCACTTGGAGATGAGTATAAGCTTTGTTCTTCCTCCCGTGCTTGCTTTGCTCCCTGAACATGTTCTTCAAGATGTTGCGGAGTCGGTTAGTATTAGCTATATTGAGCCTAACTCACACCCGGTCAGTCGGCCACCTCCTAAAGACCTCAATAGGCTGAGGATTTCTCTTCATATTTAAGCTGTTGAAGATACCCTAAAGGATGCAATGTAGGACTCTGACCGATGGATGCCCATTACATGTTCTATTTTCTCAAATGACCTTAGTTATAAAAACTACTCCCTCCGTCCCAATTTGATAGTCTCATTTCTTTTGGGCACAAGTTTTAATAAAGTGGTTAATAAGTTAAAAGTTGTAGTTGAGATTTGAGTATAATAAAGTGAAATGATATGGACCACATCTTTCTTTCCAAAAAGGGAAACAGGACCATCATTTTGGGACATCCCAAAAAGGAAATACATGACTATCATTTTGGGACGGAGGAAGTATACACTTTTTGTCCCCTTTAAATTAAGTAGGTTCCAGTTTCCTACTTTCCGTAACTGACTTAAATTTTTGCATTTGGCGCACAGATATGTGGATTTCTTTCCACTTGCAGTCCTGAATCACTTATTTGGTGAAAAATCAGCTTTAAATTGTACGAAAATTGGCTGGATAAGTGGTCGCAAAGACCAAAAGTAGAAAAAAGTCCATAACTGTATACCAAAAGTCGAAATGACCTACTAGCCATGGGACAAAAAAAACACAAAAAAAACTTTCTGATGCATGGGTTTGTACATATGAAATTATTATGTGTAGGTTCTAAGAAGACTAGTGGAGAGCATGAAGAACAAAGTGAATGGTAGCTTGATTGCTGATTACAATGAATTCAAGAGGGAACTCTCAAGAGTTTAGTATGAGCTGTTGTTCAAGCTGATGATATGCCCACATTAAAACAACCCCTAATTATTCATAGGCAACAAAGAAGGGATTGAGAACTCTTTGACTCCATTGTATATAATATGATGCACTTTTCATCCTTTAACATCGTGTAATTTTCAATGTCAAACCTAGTTAAATAATTATTAATAGCAACTAAACCTGAAAAGAAAATGGCGTAATATGTTTTTTTTGTACCATGCGGGCCAGCAAATCCCCAACAGCTCTTATACACGCTACTAGCAACCTCAGAGACATTTGTCGGATTTAGAACAACTGTCCATCAGGGTTTTAAAATGGTGTAAAATGTTGCAATGATAATTTGTACATTATGCTTGCTCTCTTATTCTCGTAGATATTATCTTTGATTTTTCATTTCCTTTCTTTTAACCTCCAATTTATTGGCGTTGTTAAATATATAACTGTTAATTTATTAACTGGTAAACTATGTGCTCTTAAAATATGTAGGGATCAGGCCAATCGTATGTACTCCTGTAATTGTTTTGATATAAATATGATATATTTCATCTGGCAGCCCCTTAGGGTAAACATGATAACATTCTTTAAACATGTTATAATAAAAATGTAATATTAAATTTTTTAAAATTTTAAATAAATTTAAAAAATGATAAATTACAAAACCTAAATATATTAAAACACTACTCCGGTAATCACATTACATCAAATGTTTTTCAATATTTTGATATGTCTTAATCTATGGGGTGTATTATAAAATTTGAACTTAAAAAAATTAATGATCTTTTGAATTCATTGAGTTTTTATGCATCAATTACGTTGAATTATATAAATGTATAAATTTCATGTATGTTGATTTATACGGATCAACATCGAGGAGTCGAGGACATACCTAATCCACTAATCCACGATAGTTCAATCCATTTGTTTATAAAAAAACAAACACCAAAATGATAACTGCAAGAATAATATATGTATATGCAATTATAGAATAATGATAAATACATTATGTATGTTGTTTAGTGTTACAGCAAGAATTTGACGATTTATGTGGCATTAAAAAGGATTGACCACAGGAGTTAATGGGGCCTTCACAAGCCTTAATGATAATTATTGTAACATTTTTATGCATTATTAGGCTCTTGTGATTAAGGAAGGTATTAATTGTAATTGTCCAACCTTTATGACAGATTCGAAATCGTTATAACGGACGGCCAACTCGTCAATAACAGACGAAACAGTCTTGAGAGTGTTAATTACATCTCCTATATATAGGACTTAGGAGTGAGCCCAATCGTACTCCAGCAGCTACACATTCGAATAATATAGTGAACTTCACTCTTATTTGCTCACTTGTCATCTTCCTTATTGTTCTTGTACGAGACCCTATCTACATATAATTTTCTTTTTTAATAAGTTTTAGCTTATCAAAATTTTGCTTAAACATTTACAATATTAATATAAGTTTTCGAAATAAGAAATATATATATATATATATATATATATATATACACATATATACATCATTGGATAGTGTACTCGGGGGTAGCTAATCTGAGACGTTACTGCGGGGAGTAACTTAGAGAGAAGTCAGAGCAAATAAGTAAGAGAGATAGTGAATTCGAATATATGAGTTATGTATTCAAGGCGTGTGTTACAATGGGAAAAGGGGTGGCTATTTATAATAGCAATAAATGCTAGATAGGGACACGTGTCAGCATTCTGGTGGTCGAGGGGTCACCTCAAACGGGGTGGCACTGGCACTCGCATGTGGCCACATTAAATGCGGTGGTTGGATGCGACGTTTGTACTTGGTACGGTGATCCAGCGCATGTGGATGGGAGATTCTATCGAGGATGATGCCTTCGGCTGTAGATGGCAGTCCAAAGGCTCTGCGTACCGGGGGCCTCATAGTGCCGAGGGCTCCGATTGCCGAAGGCTTGGTTTTCAAGCCTTATTTTCTCGTGATGTTGTTGAACCCAATTCTGTCATTGATAGCCTTCGGCCATGGGGCTTGTATGATGCTTTAGTCATCACTAGTGCTTGTATGATGCTTTAGTCATGGATGAACTTACGAAGTCAATTCAAGAAGATATACCGTGGTGCATGATGTTTGCCGACGATATTGTATTGATTGATGAGACACAATCTGGTGTTAAAGCAAAGTTGGAAGTATGGCGACAAACATTGGAGAGCAAGGGTTTCAAACTGAGCCAAAGCAAGACTGAGTATATGGAGTGCAAGTTCGGTGGAGGTAGAAGCGATAGCAACAGTGGGATTACTCTTGATGGTAAGGAGATATCGGTGTGTGATATGTTCCGTTACTTGGGATCCATCATTCAGAAGGATGGTGAATTAGATGGAGATGTATGTCATAGAATCATAGCTGGGTGGATGAAATGGAAAAGTGCTTCAGGATTTCTTTACGATCGAGGTATGCCGACTAAATTGAAAGGTAAATTTTATCGTACAGCAATTAGGCCGGCATTAATGTATGACGTAGAGTGTTGTCCGGTGAAGCAATGCCACATTCAAAAGATGAGTGTGACAGAGATGCGTATGTTGTGTTGGATGTGTGGACATACCAGAAAAGACCGCCTGAGGAATGAGGTAATCAGACAAAAGGTGGGAGTAGCACCTATAGAAGATAAGATGCAGGAGTCTCATTTGCGGTGGTTTGGGCATGTGCATAGAAGACCGAGTGATGCACTTGTTAGACGACTTGGGGGGTGGGGAGAAGAGTCAAAGAAGAGAGGGAGGGGAAGACCCAAACAGACTTGGATTAGAGTAATCAGAACTGATATGCGTCTTCTTGGGTTGGATGAGAGTATGGCTTTGGAGAGAGCAAAGTGGAGGGCGCACATCCATGTGGACGATTGATGTTTTGTCTACCTTTCCTCTCTTGTTTCTTTTATCGTTTATCTTCCTTATCTTTTTATATTCTTATGTTATTTTTATCTTCTAGCTTTTTTATGTTCTTTTATTTATTTTTCTTTTATCTTGGTTATATTCTTGTGTTATTATTATCTTATATTTATGTATCTTTATTTTATTCATTTTATCTTACTTTTTTTCCTTTTCTTGTCCGCCTTCTCTTTTTGGCATCGATATCATAGATCGATTCATGTTAGCCGACCCCAAATTCTTTTGGGATTAAGGCTTGGATGTTGTTGTTGGTGTACATTCCAATGTCGCGGGACCTCGTTTCCATTGGGGCGTTTGAGTTTGTACGTTCCGGGTTTGATGATGGCAGTAACGATGTAGGGGCCCTCGAATTTTGGTGCCATTTTGCCACCTTCGGTTGGTTGGCTAACTTCCCTTCTTCGGAGAACATAGTCCCCCACCTGAAATCCTCGGGAACGAACCTTAGCATCGATGTAGCCTTTGACTTGCCTTCGGTAGTTTTCCGCCTTTAGGAAGGCTTGCTCTCGGCGTTCGGAGATGAGGTGAAGATCGAGGGCCATGTTGGCGTCGTTGATTTCGGGATTGTATTGGGCCACCCTTTGGGTGGGAAGGGTCACCTCCGTGGGAGCTTTAGCCTCGAATCCGTAGCAAAGGGAGAAGGGTGTTTCACCTGTTGCCCACCGAGGGGTGGTGCGGTAGGCCCATAGGATGTTGTGAAGTTCTTCTACCCAGCCTCCCCCTTCGGCTTCAAGATTCTTTTTCAGGCCCTCGAGTAAAGTTCGGTTGGCGTTCTCCACTTGTCCGTTGCCTTAAAGGTAGGCAACGGATGAGAAGGTAAGCTTGATGCCCCAGGCCTCCAGGAGGGCACAGAAGGGGGCTGTCTCAAATTGAGTCCCGTTGTCGGAGATGATTTGTTTAGGGACGCCAAACCTTGTGAGGATGTTCTTGAGGACAAAGTGGCGGCATCTAACTTCGGTGATGCTGGCGAGAGGCTCAGCCTCCACCCACTTGGTGAAGTAGTCAATGGCAACGATGATGTACCTGTTGTTGGAGGTACCCCTCGGCAGAGGGCCCACAAGGTCTATGCCCCATCTAGAGAAGGGTATGGATGTGCTGATGGGGGCATAGTTGACTGCTGGCCTGCCGGGAGCCTTCTGAAAGTGTTGACAGGCAGCACACCTTCGGGCGAGATCCGCACAATCTCGGGCCATCATGGGCCAGAAGTATCCTTGGACTATGAGCCTTCGGGACATGGAGAAGGGTCCCTGGTGGGCTGAGCAAGTGCCACTATGCACTTCTTCCATGGCAACCTCGGCCTCATCCTGATGAAGGCATCGGAGTAGCGTACCGTTGTAGGATCTTTTGTAGAGCCTTCCGTCTTCAATGGTGTGGCTGGGAGCCCTTAGCTTTTTGCTAGTTTTGCGCGGGCTTCGTCCTCGGGCAGTTGCCCTGTGGTGATGAAGTTGACGATATCTGAGATACAGTCTTCAAGCCTTTGTTGAATCTGCATGATGGGGCTGGCATGTATGCTGGAGAGGCTGAGTTCCTCAATTTTTGCAATCTTAGATATGTGTTTAGGGGACTCGGCCGAGAGCTTTGATAAAATGTTGGCCTCGGAATTTTGAGCCCTCGATATTTGAGTGAGAGAATGTGCCTCAAATACCTTAAGCAATTCCTTGGCCGCTTCCTTGTATTGCTTCATTCTTCCTTCCTTGGCCTCATATTCGTCTGAGATTTGGCCGACGACTAACTTGGAGTCGCACTTCACATGGATTTGTCTGGCCTTCATGTTAGCTGTCAGTCGAAGGCCACAGAGGAGGGCCTCATACTCTGCTTCGTTGTTGGAGACTTTGAAGGAGAAGCGGATGGCATAGTAGGCGCGGAATCCTTCGGGAGTAATGAGAACTACCCCTCCTCCGCATGCTTTGGCGGCTGAGGAGCCATCGATATAGAGGGTCCACCATTCATCCGAGGGTGCCGAGGGCTCCTCATCTACCACTGATCTTGTCGTGCACTCCGTCACGAAGTCTACCAGGGCTTGGCCCTTTATGGCAGGCCTCAGACGGATGTCAATGTTGTATTGGTTGAGGAAGATGGCCCATTTTATCATCCGGGAGGAGCTGGTGGGGCTCCTCATGAGGGCACCGAGGGGTTGGTGAGTGAGGACCTGGACCGGATGGGCCTGGAAGTAGTGGCCTAATTTCTTGACGGTCCAGACGATGGCTAGCACCGTCTTCTCCACAGGGGAATATATGAGCTCCGCTTCCCTGAGGGTCTTGCTAACATAGAAGATGGCATGCTGCACGCCGTCTTCCTCTCCGATGAGGACTGAGCTGATGGCAGTCGGGCTGACGCCAAGGTAAAGGTACAGAGTTTCCCCTACCTTGGATTTGGAGAGCACAGGGGGTGAAGATAAATATCGTTTTAGCTCGTCGAAGGCCTCCTGACATTCTGAAGTCCATTGGAAGCCGG